TTTATTCTTATTTTGAACTTCAAAATACCTCACTCTATTTGATCTTTTATTTGTACCTTGGACAACAGACTTGTTTTTAACTTTTCTTATTTGATAGGAAAGAGACTGAGGCTTAGAACCATTGAATGATTTCCTGATGAAGTGATGGAGACTTGGAGTAAGACCTTCCAAGCCCAAGTTGAGGACTTCCACCTCAAGTTGAGGACATTTGTTCTCCTAATAGAAGTCAAACATGAAAACTATCTCTGACCTCCTAAAGATTTTTTTCTAGTATGTAAATATACAAGGTGAGAAAATATGTATGAATTTTAATTCAGAATCTTATATACACATTCAGTTAACTGTGTTTTCTCAGGTTAAGATGTCACCTCTCATCATCAGAATTGTAGTTAGACACAGGAAGCTCAGTAACATTCTCTACAATGGCAGCAGCTAGGATTGAATAAATCCCTGAGTAAATATTTCATCTCTCTTTATACCCCCTTTAAAAAGGTGTTTCCCTCTGTTATTCCTCCCAGTACAGTTAGAGAATGTTTGTGTCAAGTTTTTGCCAAGCTTCCCTTTGGAACACAGAGCAACTGCTTAACAAATGGCAGGTTTATGTAAGGGGAAATCTCCATGGTTTAACGTGCTTTTGTTTCCTGTCAGTATGTACCTTCTGCTTTTGTTCATGCATAATCATCTTGTAACCTGTATAGGAAGGCAAAGAAACCAAGGTTTGGGAAAATGGATATTCAAGCAATTACTTACACCTTTGTATTCAATTCTTGGCCTAAATGGCTTTCCATGAGACAGGAGTCTCCAGTAGCTGGGACTGCTGTATGCATAAGGCTGGATATAAAAATATTGCCACAAAGCCCCTGTAAAATTGGTATGATACCAAAAATGTCAAAGGAACCTCATCTTCACTTGGATAAGTTCTTCTCTCTACAGAGAAGCTGTTTCAAGGCATTAAAGCACTTTGCACATAGAAATAAAGTGATATTTGCTTAATGTAATTATTTCTATAATTATTTGTTTATATATCTCCATTAGACTGAGAGTTTGACAGGATAGGCCTGCTGCATATTTTGTATTTCCTACAAATGTTTGTAGTATGAGTAGATGAGCCATATACTGTGGCATGGTGTTTCCAAATTAGAAGGGCACGCATTTCAAAGTCACAGGTTGGCATCGAAGCAAGCCATTTCCATAAAAAAGTTGTCATAGGTTTAGGAGTATTTTCTACTCATGGGAGGGAAAAAAGCCATCTCTTTACAGTGCACTATCCAGGGATTTCCTTTCAATGGTTCTCCCTCTCCCCTTAGAAGAAAGGAAATATATTTAGTAGAGAAGCTTACTTGTGAAATCATCAAGCATATTTTGAACATCTATCAGGAGAAAAGTGGCACACTGAACATGAGAAAAATAGGAAGGTAAAAGCAACTTAATTCTTTTAAGTACTAAATCTAGTAAAAAAATAAATATGTAGATGGCTAAAATCAGGTTAAGGGAGAATAAGATGAGCAGTATATTGGTGGAAATCTAAAAGGAAAGGGGGATTATCATCTTTGCATGGGAGAATTTCAGCTTTGAGCTAACTGGAGATATGGCAATAGGACTGGAAAAGAAGGGAACACTTCCCAACACACAAAAGGGGTTTGGAGAACAATGGACTTTTAGAATTGTAGCACATAGATTAGTTGAAAATGTCTTCAATGTAAGTGGCCCGGGGAGATTGTTGAGTGGATTTCTGAAGAAATGTGGGAGAACTTTCCTAAATTCTGCCAGGAAAGAATTTCCAGGGAGATTATTTCTGAGTGAATTTCATATTTGTAATGCTTATTAAGTCACCAAAATTCTTATTTTGTTCATTTGAAAGTCCTAAATTCATTAGGGTGTGCTGGCTGTAGTGACTCATTTCCTAAGAATAGATATATAGGGAAAAGGTAGAGAACTTTATTAGCAGAGAAGCCTGGTAAAGAATGTCTTAGAGAATGTTAGCTAATAAATAAGTAACACCTGACTCTATATGATTAGTAAGGCACTTCACTGCTGATAATTTTTCCCCAGACCTGTAATTAGGGTCTAATCAAAATCAAACAATAGACAAAGCCAGACTGTGAGACAATTCTATGAAGCATCTGGTCATTGTTTCTAAAACTCAGGATCAGAAAAATAAGGGAAAACTGAGGAACTGTCACAAAGAACAGGAGATGTGATGGCAAAGACAATGGGGTATTCTCAATGAATCTAAATCAGGAAGCAGACATGAGTGGAGAAATGATGAAAATGTGACTGACGTCTGAAGCTAAGTTAATAGCCATGGGGCAGTGTTGGTTTCTTAGTTTTGACATATGTTCTAAGGTAATATACTATTAGCCAAAGCTGAGAATGTTTAGATAGATGTAATTTGCCTATGTTTTGAGGTCTAGCACTATGTAGTCTAATGACAATAGCACTAACAATAATAACAAATCAAATTTCTGAAGCATTGTCACCTATGCCAACTCATGAAGGAACAATGTTTTAGTGTTGGTAGCCCAGGGAGTTCGATGCTTTTTTTCTAAATGAAGAATCAGTGGTTCAGAACTGAACTCGCCAACATCAAAATTGTCAGCTCTGGAACTTAAGCCATGATCTTATGATGTAGATATTGTGTTCTTTTGACTCTGACCAAGTAATAGAACAACAGGCTAATGTAGGTGTTTGAGTGTGTGTGTGTGTGTGTGTGTGTGTGTGTGTGTGTGTAAGTGTATGTAGTAGATGGGCAATGTTGTAAGAAATACTAGGGGGAATGTAAAGAGTTTGACATGGCATCAAATTTCCATTGCAATGAAAGCTCTGTTAAGAACTGGAATTGTAAAGATAATTAATGTGCAAACATTCTGTTTCCTGGATCTCCCAGACATTTTCTTTTGTTTCTTTTCTGTGCACCTCTACCTTTATGTATTAGTGATAGTTTCTCAGTAAACTATCAAATAACTTAATCACTATAGATCTGTGAGTCTGCAAAATTATTATACTTTGGAACCCCTGAACCACATCCTATTGTTTAGCTTTTTCTGGTCCCATCACCACATATTTTTAAAGCTAACTCATAGATCATGTGGCTAAGAAATTTGTTACAATGATTCTCTTCATACATTTGGTGTGACATTTTCTCCTTACTTTTCTTTGGCTTGATTATAAGAATTTTACCAATAGCCTTTAATAGGAAGAACATATACAAAAATATTGTCTTCTTATAACATAGGAAGAACAATAATTGAAAATACACATCCTGTATATTGGCAACCATACCTTTTCCCCTTTCAGAAGTTCTTTGCTGTTCAGCAGCATAACTCAGAAAGCCTGTACAGAGCTCAGTTTTGTCATTAACAAAACTGTGTTCTTAAAGGATCGAATGGTTACACACCGAATGTGCTCTCAGATCCAAGGTTCAAAGGAAGTATTTCGTGCAGACCCACGTACACTTACATAGGAAAGTGGATGTTTAAAAGTAGGTAGATGAGTATTTATCCGAAAATGTGGTCTTCCTTGTTGATGCTGGAGTCTGAGGAGTTATCCCTATGCTTTGCTGCCACCTTGGCATACTAGAAGGATTTACAACGGAATTCTTCCCAGGGATTGCTGGGAGCAGTTTCCACTGCCTCTCTGGGTTGGCAGGGCTCACAGAGGCATCTGAAGTGCCTGTTATGCTCCCCATTGGCTTGGATATGTTACAGAGAGAAATTAGAACATCTATCCCGTGGAAAAACACACTTTCTCTTCTTAAAATAACTCAATTGCAGAAAGATCCACGTGTTACTCTGAATACTTTTTAAAGGCTTCCTCTTTCTTTAACCCAGATTGGAGACAGGAAAAAGGGTGATGATGGCCATGTGCGGATATGAGTTTGCACACTGAGCGAAGTCCTGGCTCATTTGGGTGTGACAGTGACAGCAAAGGCGCTGCGCGGACAGTTTTCTCTTGTCTAAGTTCCCATTCCAGGTTCTCGAGATGACTTGCTTCCCACTTGAATTAACTTCTTGCATACTCACAATACTGAGTCAAAGCGGTTTAATGAAAGAACCTGTTTCAAAGGAGATGTGAAAGCACTGCTGATCAAAATCTGTGCTTAAAGCTGACCTGTTGTTGCTTTGTTGGAACTTATTTTTTGCATCGTCATTCTTGCTTGTGTTTCCTCCTTTATTCCATTCTAGTAAGACTCTGTCAAGAGTCTCTCTCTCTCTCTCTCTCTCTCTCTCTCTCTCTCTCTCTCTCTCTCTCTCTCATCTCCTCTTCCCATTCTGTTATTGAATGATTATACAGTCATTTGCTATACGACTTTGTCCTGTTATTTGAATGAGTGTCATTTTGCTTACCTATCCTAAATGGATAGGTAGGAGGAACCATTCCTTTGGGTTTCATTTAAATTTGGCATGAGCGGGTGGGTGGCATCCTTAATTGATCTCGTACACGCAATACAGTTGAAGCTAGAGCTAGAATCAGCAAAGGGTACCAAATGTTCGAAGCGCAACTAGGGAAGAAAATAATACAGTGGGAGGGGGATAGAGAAGTAAAGGAATAAAAATCAAGTTTGTTGGCAACTTCAATGAATCCGGCAACTGGAAGCAAAAAATAGATTCGGAGGGTTGGGTCTGGCCCGGATGAAACGCTAGGACTCCTTCCTGTCTGTCCCTGAATCTGGAGCTGAAAGCCCGCCACTGACGTCCTGCCAGGCAAGTGCCCCTAGACAGCAACACACCCACTGAAAACGCACGTGAACAAAGCTCTCGCCCCGGGAGCCGCCTCCAGTGGTTTCCTAGCGGATTCCAGCTTCTCCAGGGAGCGCAGGGCGCACACAGGGTTAATTTAGCTCCCTCCCTGCTAGAAGGGAGAGAAGGAGGAGGGGAAAAGAAGCATACCGTCTCTGGCTGGGGACCTTGTAGTTAGATGTACGTTCGAAACCTGTCGCCATCACTTGTGAGTTTGGCATCATCCATTGTCACCGCAGAGGAACAAGCCCTCCGAGATCACATCAGTGCCCGCAATCTGCGCTCCATAGCGTGCTGCTTCCCCCAACTCCAGATGCGCCTCTGGTCCTCAGTCTTGGGTGTCTATCAGCGTCGAGGCGACACCTTCGCGCCCGCCGCCTTGCTCACCGAGCCCCAGGACCAGTGTGGCAGTTCTCAACGATGGGTAGGAGGGACCTTGGCGGCGACCCCTAAAACAATACCATGCCCCGGGATCCCTGCTGCTGCCGAGCCAGCTTCTTCCCTTTCCACCTCCCTGACCCTGTCGGATTCGGATGAGCCCATTTCTAGGAGGAGACGCGGTCGACAGGTAAAGGGACAGCTGTGTCAGGTGAAGTTTCTAGTTAACCGCCCTAGCTGCCGCTACGTGGGCATCTAGGGGGGAAGGGAGTTTTTTGAACCATTGGGGGTGATTGCTCGGGCAGGTGTTCTGTGCTGTCTTTTTTACCTCAAAAGAAAATAGACTCCTTAGCTGTACCCTGACTTTAAGAACATCTATCTGCAGATCGAATCCACCTCCTCTGAGTTTTGTTAACTGAGCTCTGGGTCAAAACGCTAATTTGCTCGCCTGCTAGAAGCATTGATCCTAAATGAAGGTTTCCAGAGCCCCTGAGCTTTCCGGAGTCCAGCCTATCATTTTCCCAGAATGGATCTCTTAACTTTCATAAGCAACAACCCCTCCTCCTCATCGGCTCGTAATGCCACCAGTGTTATTATCAAGAGGTTATATCTAAAACCAATACACGCCCTCAACCTCAATCCAGGATGGATTAGCGGCTAGGATGCGAATGCCATCCTTGTGTGTGTGTGTGTGTGTGTGTGTGTGTACACACGCGCGCATATGTGTGTGTGTTTTCCAAAACCAAGTTCCCCGCCAACTCTACTGGTCCTCGAGGCCATTGCTCCTTTCTGAGGTGTTGGCTGTGGTGGAAAGTCTCTTAGAGTAAGCGCTGAGCCTGGATCCCTCTTCCTGCGCTGTGTGCGTGGGACGCAGGGATCGGTCGGGGAACGCCCCCCAGGAGCTGAATTCTGGGCCGAAGAGGAGGATGCAGTGGCTGGAGTAGGGCCTAGCTAGCTGCCCCCGCGACCCCTCTGGGACGGGGACTTCCGGAAAAGATCCCTTCGCCACGCTGACCAGTCATGGGCTTGCCCTCGCATTTTCAGAGCCCGCACAGTCACTCCTCTTTTGTAATCAGGCCCATGATCGAGGTCCTGTTGAGATTGAGGACTAACTAGGCAGAAAAGCTGCTGGCTGGGGCGGGCTTTATGGCTGGAAAACTCTTGGAACATGCTAGAAGCTCCAGCAGATGCGGTGTGCTAATGGAGGCTGAAGCCACCACTGCAGTTGTCCTTGGCGCTCAGTTCATGTAACCTCCCAGCAAGATGGCACTCACTGTCCTGAGGGCTGCCATCTGCGCCCCTTCTTCCCTTGGATAGTTGTTAGTTGCACTTTAAGTTTGGGGAGAAGACAAGATATGTATGTCAAAGCGTTTTCCTAGTAATCATTGTAAAATGAAACAGGAACAGTGGCAGGCGCTCATGAACTCTACTAGTGTGTAAGAGTGTGTGAGTGAGTATTTTAGTGTGTGTCTGGGTGTATCCATGCGTGGTTTAGGAGACAAATCGGGCGTGTCTCTAAGTCGTCTTAACATAACTTAGACACTTAAATACGAGAAGGCAGCAGACACAACAGGGATAAGAAGGAAATAAAAACAATCAGGGAAGTGATGCCAAGTGACTCAGGCTTTGAACTGAGAACTGGGAGTGCAGTCGCTCCTGGAGCGCATCCGGAAATCATCCCCAGACGGTCTCAGGCACCGCCCTGGTCCAATTCTTCTGCTCAAAGAACTGAGTGGATCCCTAGGGTGTTAGTCCTGGGCTAGTTTTAAACTTGCGGGTTGCATATCCAGCAGCCCCAACGACAGCGCGTCTCTGCGGAGCACCACGCTTGGCGCGGGCTCTTTCTCCCTCTTCTGTTCAGATTCAGTCTCTCTCCGGACTTATTAAAACACGACAGCAACTTACGGGAGGCTGGAGGGGCAGCGATGAAACGAGGAGCAAACAAGACCCCTCCTCCTCTCAAGAAAGAGTCATGCCCCTGGTTTTCTTACTTTACTTTTTTAACCTTTGTAAAGAGATTTGAAAATGTTGCCCGTATATAAATTGGGCTTCTTTCGTTGTCCAGTCAAGTTTCCTAAGTCCATAGAGTTAGCTGAATTTTTGCCTGTCCACAACTAATGTATTGGAGGACGCCCTTGCCAGTAACAACAAGGGTGATAGGAGAAAGAGAGGGTATTTAAAATGATCATCTCGAACTCTAGATTATTTCAATTAAAGTTTATTTAAGAAGGTACGGGATGAGGGAACCTGTGATGGGATGGGGGTGGGGCACATCATCAAGGTTGCCTGCGTTTGAAATAACGCCATTTTGGTTGAGAGGCTCGCTATATTTTTGCCCTCTAATCTCACGTTTCGATCAATTCTCTCTCTGAGTCTTAAGTAATAGGTCCTCCCGCCTGGAAGTGCATCAGTCAGACAAGGGGGAAATCGTCTTTCAGGATTGTGATAGTGGCATCATTCCCTAAGAGCTGGGAGTTGGGAGAGCATGTGCGGTATCCATAGAGGGAGAGCCGGCGTGCAGCATCTAGGTGACATCCACAGTGTTAGCCCGGGTGCTCAGTAACTATCTCCAGGGAGGACAGGGTTAAAAGCCGGATCTGGCTTTGCCTCTTGGAAAGCTTTAGGCTCTGCCGCTCCTCCCAAGCATTCTTCAAACCAGAAAAGTGGGAGGGACTCCGCGAGCCTGGAAGAAAGGGAGGGAGGGAGAGAAAGAAGGCTCAAGGAGGGGAGCGCGCCAGAGAGCCTGGGACTGAAGGAGAGGAGGAGCGCGGGAGCGGCAGAGGCGATCCCGCGAATTCATTACTGTAAACATCTCCCGGGGGTGTCAGGAGGGGTGGGGGTGGGGACCTCAGCGCCTACATTAGCCAGACCGCGTCGGATTGAAGCAGCAGTGTGGTGCGAGCAACCTCCAGACCCGCTCCGGGTGGGCGCTGCACTTGGAGCGAGCCCCGCGCCCGCCCCCGCGCAGCCCACGCAGCGCTGGCCGCTGCGCTCTGCCGACTCTGCACAAACGCGTCGGAGGAGCGCCCGCCTTGCTCTCCCACCGACCCTCGCGGTACTCAGTCTCGGTGGAGTCCCGGCTCCGCGTTGTGTTTTCACATCGCCTTCCCCACTCAGCCTACTTCTTTGGGTTTCGTTGGCTTGGCCGAGGCGGAGAGGGGGAGGCAGAGGAGGAGAGGCGGTGGGAGCTGCGGCGGCCCGAGACTAGAAAAAGTGGCATGCCCCAGCCCTGGAGGCGGAGGTGGCGGAGGACGGGGGAAGACGATGCCTCGGCTCCGTAGGGGACGTAGGCGACAGCGAGCGAGGCCAGCGGGGCGCCCGGGCGCCGGCAGGCTGCGGGGAGGCGCGCGCGGCTCTGAGGCTCTGGCCTCAACTTCCCCGCGCCCCGACGTTGCAGGCGACAAGGCTGGGATCCAGCAGCCGCCGCTGCCGCCACCACCACCACCCGGAGGACCCAGCAAAAGTTTGGATCTGGGTGAGGGCGCAGCGCTGAGCGGGATTACCACCAGGGCTGGCAGGAGACCTCGAGAACCTTGGCAGGTAACGCGCACCCCCCAACCGTCTCCCTCCAACCCCCTCGGCTGGGCTCCGCTTCTTCTCAGAGCCTTTCCTAGTTCTCGTCAGGTTTGGCTGAGAGTAAGAGGGAGGCGAAGTTCAAGATCCTGGGGGCGGCTGCCGACCGCGGACAGTCGGATTAAAGGGATCCGGATGCACAGGCAGCTGTGGCGGGGAGGCGAAATCCCCCAGGAGTGGATGAGAACCCTGGGCCCCAGCTGGTGCCTCATATTGTATTATGCGTCTTTGGAAATTTGGAATGTGAAGTCAGGGACTTTTTCTAACCCTGAATACAGAGAAATGATTGATGGATTTCAGTTACCCCCCACCCTCTCTCTTACCCTATTTAGTGCCTTTAAAAAAAAAAGTGATTTGAACTCACTCTTATTTGCCCACTTCCTTTAGCTGGCTTGGGACCTCAAATTTGGAGAGGGAGTGTGAAAATTGCAAGCAAAGGGGGAAAATATCTTACTCCTTTTGACACCCAAGGAACCCTACCTCCTTCCATTCACCTTCTGGTGTTATAAAATAGGAACTTTAAAAGTCACATTTATGTTGAGGTGAGGTGAAACGTGTTAGCCATTGGTGATGTGAATTCTCAATGATTATCTGTGTGTGTGTGTGTGTGTGTATGTGTGTGTGTTGGGGGGGACAATGGCGAGACAGCAGTTTTGCAGGGAAGCCGATTTTTTTTTTTTTTTTTCTTCTCGTTAGCCTGACGCGCGGTGGTGTAGGAGAAGTGAGAGTGGCCGCGTGTATGCACTGAGGCTGGAGCACGGCAGAGAAGACTCGCGTTTCCGGAACAGCAGGCTTAGTTAGGCTAAGAAAATAGCTGCTGCTCACTTCTAGGGCAAAATGTTTTAGATCCAGCTCACCAAGGCACCTTCCAACATCCCGTCCCCATAGAGTTTTGAGTTTTGAAGCAGCTCAACATTTTGGGGCTGCTCTTGCCTTTATTATTATAGACATTATTAGTTCACCTGGAAACTCCTTTTACTTTGTCCTATGAATGGAAAACAGTCTCTAAGAGCTTTTGATTAATTTTAATGGAGGAAATCTCTCGTCAAGCTTACAGTAAGCTAATCACGTAAGTGCAAGGCACAAATCCGTGTAAATGCTCCAGCAAGAGTGCAAGGTGCTGATTAGATTTCCTTACATGCTGCATTTGCTATGCAAAGCCTCTTTTAAATGGAAGCTATTGCTCCCCATTCAGCTGGGAAGTTCTTTAATCACACAGGGTTTCAGTGAGCTTTGGAGCATGTCCACTCACTCACAGACTTATTGCTAAATGTATTATATCTAACTTCCCTCAGCCAAAAGCTAATATGAAGCTTAGTTTCCATACGAGGATGGAGATTGTTAGTAGACTTAACTGGTATGACCTTATTAAAATCTCCAAAGAAAGCATTCTCCAAACATTTTGAGGTAAATAGAATTTAGGGTTGGCATTTGTCCAGAATTGTAGTTGGTTATTGCAGTATGAATGTAAAATTTGAGGTCAATATCTGAAATTGGATTATTATTATTTTTTCGATCACTAAGTAACATGTACCAGATATGATCGGCCAGCCACCATATTAGGAGGGAATCAATCTTTGCATAATGTACACACCATGAAAGGTTTCTTATTTTCACACAGCATTATTGCTCCTGAAA